ATATATTCTTATCGAGAACACAGTTTTTTTTTGGCAACGATAGTTCAGAAGAACCGGACAGTAATAGATAACGGGGTCTCGGAACACCCTCGGTTATTTAGCACACCCGGGGGTGGCACAAGGTGCTAATCCTTCTCGTATTTTTCGGTGCTGTTTAAAGATGTACCTTAAATGATTCTAGAGCCTAAGGATTTCGTTAAGGTTTTCAGCAAGCAAGAATCCAGTTGCTTGCAAATCCATCCAGCTTCGAGTTCAACAGACCCTCACAAGACTGGACGTAGATGTTTTTGTGTCGATCTAACGATCAATCTTATTAAGACCCAAGGAACGAAATTCAGAGAGTAGAGATCAAAGAGCACCTCTTTTTCTTTCGGTTCGTGTTGAGAAACTCCCATGTCTATTCATTAATATATCTACAATCGTAATCAACAAAATTTAATTGAATCAAAGACCTATATTTATTTACACACTGCTTGTTGTATAGCACAGGCATAGATTTTTGTAGCACGATGGAGCTAAGATGAGGAACTCGCAGCGCTTTTCCATATTAACAACTGTGCCTCTGTTCCGACTTAGAGATCGTCACCGTAACCGCGGAAAAATCTAGCTGCCAAACCTGACGCAGGCTGTGTTTCTGAACTAAACAATGGCTCAACATTTGTATGGTACGTAACTAGGCACACAACGGGCTCATACGGAATTTTCGCGTTCACATATTGTTTTTATCATAGAATTTTAGCTGGCATTTCAACGGGTAGTGTAATGCGGCCCTCAATCAGAGTGTCGACCAGTAAGCACACAAAATCCGCTGACATCGTTGGCAAATTCTACAACACAAACTCTAATAGGTGCAAATGAATGAATCTTAATTGTTCCACTCGTTACACCTTCAGACGCTTCGCGGTTAACTAAATAATGCATCATGCAATATATCAAATCTTCACATAACCGGTAAACCTTGTTTGTGATAAATATCTCCTAACACTCCCTCGAGCACTCGTTAGAGAGCTTTGAACAGTAACGCCGTGTCAGTGTGAAGAGTTCCTGGCGGAAAAGTCTGCTCGCTGTTGTAGACGGCTATCTAGAGAATGTATTTTTATTAAGAACGACAACATCGAAAATGCAAACATCTTAAATTTTGAAGAGTTTCCTTTAGCGTTTTAGTTTCCTTTAAGAGGTAACAGCATCAAGACGGCAATTCCGTGGCTTCGATTACCCCAACGAGTGAAGAGCGCGACCCATTTACGCGGAGTGCTGGAGAGAAACTGGAGAAGGCAAAGCTTTTTCTAAAAACCGAGCAACCCAACTTAGTGAAGCATTAATACTCAGTGCATTTGCGATTGTTTTCACATAATGATCGTGGTACGCCCGAAAAAGCCAATCAGGACCGAACGCAGTAAACGGCCAGAATTATAGGTGAAGATGCCGCAGCGTTTATAGCGCTGACTTTTAATTGACGAGATTCTTCACACACGATATTGGCGAATATAGGTACAGTTCACAGATTTCTGAATCGCAAAAGGTACATTCCTTACGCACGAAAAGGTTCTTCAAAGGGTTTTCTTTTTTTATCTAGAAGATAACAAATAGGCATTTAGTATTATCTATTAATAGTGTGTAAATATTACATATTACAGATAGAGATAATAGCATTTTCCCCAATAGGACCCTATCAGCCACAGATGAAATCTTTGCTTAATGGAGTATGTGCCACGCCGATTTACAATGACATAGAAGCTTCTTCCACAGGCAGTATCTATAAAGATAATGCCAGGCTTTTAGTTGCCAACTAAAGACACACGCCACTGGTAATAGTGCCATAGATTTCGTTGGTAAGGGTATTACCCTTGTAGCACTCCTTTGAAACTGGTGTATTTTACGCCTCATTTTCGCAAACAAATCGACACGAAAGCTCGATGTTTTCTAACCATAAACAATATAGATACCGAGTTATATAAGTGTATCACGATTATGGTTATTGCTTTTTTTTTTTTTTTTTTTTTTATATAGTAATAGTTTCGTGTTTGTAAGGTAAACAATAAAATGTTTTTAAGATAACAATGGCAGTGCTTAAGACTATGAATAACGTTAGCTCTTTCACTTAAACTATTAAGAACACGAGAATTTAGAACACTCTTGTTGAACGTTTAAAGCGCGAGAGTTTCCATAATAAATGGGAGCATTGTTGATCAAGTCCAATTTACTGATTCTGGTAATATGTTTTTGGGATGCGAAAGCCAGGCTAAAATGTTGCCGATTAATTCTATTCAAACAGTCCTTTTCAGCGCAATATTTCAGCAAACCCCACATTTCTTTCTATTTATTTGCAAAACTTAAAATCAAAGCAACCCATATTTATTAAACATGTTTCATCAATGCCTAACAAAAAGAAAATAGTGCTTTGTTAAAAAGTGACGTTGACGCGATACGGATCTCTCTAAACAGGATGGGGCAGGGGAAGACTGGCTAAAATTGTTGCCAATAAAATCTTCTACGTAAATAAAAGTCATGATCAACTCTGTCAGGTGACGCTTTTGAGTAAATAGTAATAATATATAGAGACGTTTTCCGGTATTGGGTAAGAAAGGATCTTATTTTTTTCAAACTCATGATACGTTTAGAGTTTGTATGTGTGCCATAACAAGAGACCTTATCTCATTGTATTCTGATCGTTCGGCCTCATGTAACACGTAGCATTTGTATTAGCGCACTATTATAGATGCGCAAATGGTTTCAACTTCAGCGAGCTCAATTCAGTGTATTTGGTTTTTCTGTGAAGCTACAGAATATCAATGTTGAAGTCGTCGTCTTTTTACTCTTGGCGAATTAATATTTATTTTGTATTGTATACGCCGAATTAGTCGCGAACGAGGAGAGTTTGGAGCTCAAAAAGTTAGGCGAAGAGATCTACGATGCCGACTCTAATCACATCAAGTTAATACTTTAAAGTTTGACCACTTACTAGCAACAAACCCGAACATTTACTGACTTATTGTAACAAGTAATTCATTGCTAATGGGTATCTCATACTAACGTAACATTTTTGTTGTCGTATAGTGAGTTCAGACAGTGACAAATCATATGAGATACATGAATTCAGTCGTGACGAACGGTGCCCCAGACCAAGCATTAACTATATCTAAATAAACGTCATTTAAAGCTTAGTAACGAATTTTATGTCTACGTAACTTATTTGTATACATGTTTATTTTATTTATATTTGTTAAGTATGCAAAAAAAAGTGTAGTTATTGTAAGTGGCACGTTTTCATATATCTAAAGCTTATCGCTCCCTCCGATAGCGCTAGAGCAAATATCGCTTCGTGAGTTACCCCCAAGTGTACCTCGTTTGAACATTTACGTTGAACGGCTACTGATTAGGTCATAAAGCATTCATTCTGAAGGCACTCGTGAACGCCGACTACATAAACAATGATAATACTAATAAGATGATTCGAAAAGTATTTAACATGACCAAACGACTCTACGATTAGTGTACAGCTTTGTATTCTTCTTTGTTGTACATATATATGCAACAGCTTCGTCAATGTAGTGTGATGCATAGCCTAACCAGTAGATGTCTAAAGCGTTTGCCTCATCTACCCGATTAATTGTATATAAATCATACTACATAATGCTTCTTATATGTGCCACCCATTCCGTTTTGTATATGTTAGGGCGTCTTCAACTCTACTCAAATGCAAAATTGCAGCGCTTGCCCCTTTTTGTTGAAAAGTCGTAAAATACCTCACTCAATTGAAAGTAACCGTAAAAAAATAACCCACATCCTATTTATCGCTCCTGGAACCAAGAAGGGCAAGCATAAGGGTGAAAATAATATAAGAACCTATATAAAATGTTAATTTCTGTCACTTTTGGAGACGCTAATAAGGAATGGTTGAAGAGAATGGGAAGCTATGAAGTTTTTGAAAGTACTTCAAGAAAGCAATTTAAATTGAGAACTTGTACTTCTTTTCGGAGTCTTATCGACAGATTCATGGCGAACAAACTTTGAAAGTTAAGCAATTGCTTAATACGAGTAGTTTAATTTCAAGCTTTTAATCTCCTATATTTTATAAACAATGCTTCACTTTACTCAATCTCTCGTTACATCTTTTTACATACGATTAATCGAATGTTAGCAATTGTACAGTGGCGCAGTCAATCGTTTATTTATTACTTAGAAAGGTACTTCTGATTATATATTTAACTTCTTCTAGTATAACGCGGGCTCACTAGAACACGAACAGTTTATTAGCACAGTTCAACAGTGGGCCCTTCACAAAAACGATCGAATGATGTTAGATTATATATCCCTTGATCTTTAACGCGTTGTACAGAGTAAGTCAGTCCAGGTTTCGATACTGAACATGATGAGGGTTTTGATTAAAGTGAAGCCTACCTATCCAGCGACTTGCACTTGGCCTCAGATAGGTTTTATTTCCAATGTTTGTCCTTATTTCGTGTTCAACGTCTACCGTTTCTGTAGGACACATAATTATACTTCGATGGCCTTTTGTTTAACACCACCGAATATATCGGTCGTTTGAAAAAGACCATATAATCATTCCCGTTCCCTTTTTTTCTTCTCAAAAAATGAATATCGGTGAGCTTCTGGGGGTCGAGGCATTTTCCCGTGGTCAACCTGGTCGGGATGTTGATATCTGTGACCAGTCGATTATCATCTGTTTCTCGCGTATGATCTCAAAATGACAGTGCTCAATATGTATTCGTCGCATAATAGCATGGACATGTGGAAACGCAAAGCACAAATTACAATATTGTAGTTAGCAGGGAATAACGATGTTAACCGCGCATGGCGACAAAAGGACGCCTAGAGACACTTGCTTGCGTTGACCGCATTAGAGACACCATGCGCATGCTTCACGTGGTTGACATTGTTTCTTTCTTACATTGCAAAATACGTATAGACAACTATCATATGGGGTCGAGGTCGTGTTTGTTTACCAATAGAGAAACCGAGGTGTTGCGCGTCGGTGCCTTATATTTAACATAATCATATTTAACATCAAAAATTCTCAAAACGTACGTACTGCTATAAGGCTATATGGTGAGTTTGCTTGGAACGGCACATAAGTGTGTACAATACAAATTATTCAGCATGAGACGGCAAGATGGGCAACAACTTACCTATCAGAGAATTTTATAATGATGCAGATATGTGCGTGTATAGTCGTACTTGAAAATCTAGTCGTGCTTATGGGCGTTTTGACCTTTCTAGAACTACTATCAGAAGCGAACTGGGTATGATAGCTGGTACGATAAAAGTTGACTTATAGATGATATTTAGCTTCGTTAACGATTTTCCAAAATGGAGTTAATCCAATTCAAGATCGACGCCTATCGAAATTTTTTGTCACTTACGAAGCTAATATTACTATGACTAATATCTCACTCAACCCTTCCTGTCATTTTAACACCAGTTCGTGATTCTTATCGTTCGCAAGATAGATATATATATATATATATATATCGGATCCACTTAAAGAGCCCAGCGCAAAAAGTTTAGCGAGAAAGCCAGAGCCTGTAATGTGGTGCTTAGATTTTCGTTAGGACTTCGCTCTTGCCTTCCCGTATTCTAAACTGTTTTTTAGTAACCCCCTTAGAACTTCCACTTTTACTTCGGCGGCCTTTGAGGAACCTTTTTTGTCATTGTTTGTTGATTGACCGTCGCTTTTCGTTTGCCTCTATCAACGTTTTGCTTGACGATTTCAGCTTTAGACATGGCCGGCAATCTAAAGTATGCTCTGTTTATCCAGTATAGCTTTGCATAAACGTTCGGGCAGGGAAACTGGAAGAGGTCGATAAGTGTTTATTTCCGGCCATGCTGCTACTGTTTTTATCATTTTTTTACTGAAAGAAAATAGCAAGCGTTGCTTGTCAGCGAAAGCATATTATACTATAGATACGTTTGTTACTGGACATAATAAGGGTATTCAAGGATAGCCTGTAGACGAATATTTGTAGGAATCCGGCACATCGACAGCCTAACCTAAAACAGTGCGCTTTCCTTGTGCTTATCTGTTTTTGCAAAATAGTTCCAATTGATTCGTTAACTATAATAAGGTTGCTTATATCTGGCTAGACTGGAGCGTTACTTCAATGGAGTAAATAATGTTGAATGAAACAGTGGGTAACTATGATTTGGATACACAAGCGTGAACGAGACCTACGATCATCTTAGGCAATGTTTTTTTTTTTTTTTTTTTTTTTTTTTTTTTTTCCACTGTTTCAATTGCTCAATTAACATATTACAATTCGGATTAAAGCAGTCTAGTCAGCATCTCGTTTCAACTCAAAAACTCCAGAAAATGCGATCGAAAAATACACCACCGTTTTTCGTTAAATATGAACAATTTAATTGAACTCGATGTGTATGGATGATTTTTTTTTTTTGTAGTTACAATAAATCGTTTTATATAATATAATAAAGCTTTTATGAAATCCGTTCTCTCGTTCAGAGACAATCTACGCAACAAATAATCGTGTCGACTCAATCAAGTAGAGGATATGAACATATCGATATTCAATAGATTTGCTAGTAACTTCTATCGGGAAGACGCCAGCGATATACGATCAAGCACACTTGCTACAAATGTCTCATTCGTTCGTAACGAAATTAATCGTTGGCGGATCTTCTGCTTTCGTTATACTTGTTCAGTGAATCTTTCTGAGTATCTACTTAGAGAACTTCAGGAAGCCTTCTTTCCGACAGGTAAATAATTAAATATCATGAGAGGGCTTTCTTTGTGGTCGTCGCCTTGTTCCAGTCGAGCCGGCCTGAACTAACGCGGTACGTGTGATTTGTTAACGAATTTCCGAAAATGTTTCCTGGCGAAATCAAAAAACCTCCAAAAAAAAAAAAACCCAAGAGAAACCCTACCTCTATGAGCACTATTTAAAAGTTACGTTAACTTGAAGAGTTCATCATTTGTCTGATATTCTGTTAGAAGGTTAGAGTAGGTAAAAGCACGTATGCTAGGCTTGTACAGTGGCTGTATGGGTTTGTGTAAAATATTTCATTGCACGAAATGAACAGCCACAAGAGTGATGCCCTTAGACGTAGATGGTAGCTAGAAGAAATCAAACCGATTTTTAAAACGGCCTCTTCATGGGAATATGGAACAAGTACCACATGCTAGTTACATGAAACGAGATGATTTCATAATAAATCAATGTCTTGCTTTTAGTTTGTAGCGCTGTAATCTACAAAATACGCAATTTAAACTTTGTAAGTTCTTACTAGGAAATGCCGGATACTTTGATACTGCATAACAATTTTGAAGTTGGGGAGTAATTAGGTTGATTGAATTTTAGCTATCTCATATAACAGATGTAGCTTATTCAACTTTAGGTTATAATAAGGTATTTTTTTTTTAAATCTACGGTTATTCTTCTTCGAATATTTCCTGTTATGTCTGGTTCTTCAGGATCATCTAATTGTGTGTATGGCTTTACAGGATATTCTACCTGTAATTTGCAGTCGCCGACCGTGGTGGAACCGAACTGCCAAAGACGATCGGATAATTTTCAATAGATGGTCAGAGGATATTTCAGAGGGGCGCACAAATAACTCGCATCGAGTTCAAATGATCAAAAAGACGACCATTGTTAAAAATTCTCTGTTTTACTTTTGGATAGGGAATACTTGAGCAAAGCCAGGATTAAAGAGGGCTAGCTTTAACTGAGTACATGCACATTTTTCAGTCGTTCCCTGTCATCCATCGCCATGAAACAAAATCTTGCCTCGCTGCTTTATTACGCGTGTAATTGGTTTACGATTGTTTGTGACCAATTTTTTTTCCATAACTAGCTTATGTTTAAAAACTACAAGCGGATGTATTTAAAATTATCAAATATATGAAACAGGCCAAAATGTTTCAAAGCTTAAGCTATACGAAAAAAATTCACATTGTGTTCACATAAAAGCAAGCGTTGAAATGTTGTATATTAATGTATCATATAATTACTCAGTTTATTTGGGTTATTTGAGCTTCAAATTAATAAAGCATACTGTATTTTTTATGTCCACCCGGGAAATATAAACAGATATTTAGTTTGCATGCACGTTCATACATACGGGCTAATCAAAAACTACAATCAATCAGTGGGGCATAATTATATCGGTACTATATTCTGTGACTAACATCGATTGAAAGCTGATTTTTCGACAGGTTTTTGGTCGTTTACATAACAATAGGATAAACGAATTTCGGCAATGTTCCAACGTAAACCATTTAGAAGGATCTTAGTTTAGTTAGTCTTTCGAATGGCAGTTTCTGGAAAACTTAACGACCTTTGACAAGGTGTGACATATGCCTAAACAATGCCTTAACGCTAAGATCAGTCTCTACTTACGGAATCCTTAAGAGGAACTCCTCTACGATTATACACGATTCATCTAGAATACTTTATATATATATATATTTCTAATAAATTATTTCTAATAAATTCACCCTTAAGCACATAACATATCAACGCTATTGAAGGTTTTATGTCAATAATTTTTTTAACGAAAATAGGTAACGATTGTATTCTGACTATCAGTATATCTGGAGTGAGACAGCTGTCTCATTTTATAGAATCAGGAATCGCGTATGAAATTTTCGGAGAGAGACATAATGGGCCGCTTTCACTAGTTAAACCCAAAAAAAAACTCCAAAGATTCTTGGGTCTGGGGTCATTCGTCTTGCTTCACAAGGTCACCCGTTAGTGGCGTAATCGCTCTAATTCCAGTGCTGACAACCCAGCTCACATAATAGAACCGGACTGCGTGTAGAAACGAAGATCAACTATCTTCGCATGCCATCATATTTATCTATATTATTTAGTAGGTATTTATTATATTTCCATTTTTTTGAGCTGTTGTCGCTCTCTGACTAGATAGGTCTCCATAATGGTGCGGTGGCAATTTCGGAACCTGCTTCGTTCCGTCCTGGGAGCTAGCTGTCGCCAGTGGCAAACGCCTGTGAGATAATATGCGTTCGATCACTGATAAGCTGTGTTCATATTTACGTGACGTCACCCCTCACCCCTCTGTTTGTTTACTCTGTAATAATGTTGGCTGTAAATAGCGCTTTTGTTATCTCTATGTTAATAAATCTGCACTTATCACAATTAGCTAAAGTATTTGGCTTAATCGGCTAATCTAGTTAGTCCCTTCATCAATCATAAATCACTGATGGCAATGTCTAACTGTTCGTTTTGAGACGTGCGCGGTATGATGAAGATGTTTCGAATGTTACGTCTGGCACCGCTGGTAGTAGATTTTCGGACGAAACGTAGTGGCCGAAGGACTAACACACGTACGTGACCCACTAGGCCATCACGGGGACGGCGGCACAATCTACGTTATTGTAAACAATTAATTCTACCTAAGGTGGCAGGCGACGTCTTTAGAGAACGCCGTGAAAATAACCATGGCTCATATTTGTCGTGTCTATTCTACATGCCGCATAAAGACGGACAACGTCGCCAAAAGGTCCTTCCGTTGCTCTGCTGTAGATCTGATAGCCTCTGTTGTTTACGCAGCTTAGTATGTGACATGTAACTACAATGAAGCGCTATCCAAAGCCTTCGACTATAAAATAACTGGCAGCGAGGACTGAATCTGGATCAAACGGCAACGATGACCTGTATTCTGGAGGATCAAAGTACAAAAATCGTACGAACGTTGGAATAAATTCTACTTTAGTCGACCATAGCAGCCATGCGGGGACTGGACTATCCAAAGCGTTCTCATTTCCAGATACGCTTCGTTCTTAAAACTTGGTAGACTCACAATTCAAACGTCATACAGAGAATAACCAGGATACAACGGCCGAAAAAGAAACGCGTTTCATTATCCGAAAAAAAAACTTGCTCTTCCGATCGTATCCACATATGAAAGTATTGCATCAACTCAGCTTTGTTAAAACCGTTCAACATCTAAAGAGCCGATATGGATATAACTTGTCGCTATGTTCAAGGCAATAACTTCAAACAACGACTCTGAAATGACGTTTTATAAGTGCATCCGTAAGTTAAGGTGGCTATTAGCAAAATGACTGCTAAAAAATTTAAATATACCAATTCGTGGCCTGACCAAATAGCCAGACTGCTATAAAAATAAAATGCATACACCAAAAGCCCAAAGTAACATCAGCGAGACTTCATTGCCATGTTAAACGATTCGTTCGGTTGAAAGATACATCCCTGCAAATAAGTCATCCATCCAAAATGTCTCTTAGTTGCCAAGGAAATTCCCTTCCAAATAAAAAAAGTGTGTGCACAGCCTGTTAATAATAATACTTACTGTTACGATAATATTACACGAATATTATAATATGTTATTGTATGCCATATCGGAAAGATAAGAAAGATCACTGCCACGCATGCTCCCGTAAGGCAATCGAAAAGGAATTAACTTATTTAAAAAATTACAGGGTCAGTTCGGTGATCAATACGGCGGAACTTTACAACCAGGTGGATACACTCACAGCTAAGTCAGGAAAATCTACTTCAACCATCAGAAGTTGCAGCTATTGATTATTTCACTTTCCTAAATTGGTTTGAATTCGTAGAAAGCAAAGATACTGGCCTTTGAGAAAAAAATGTTAGGAATGCCCTCTCGTAAATGCAGAAAACGCTTTCAATGAGCAGCAAGTATGGATAGAATGTTTTTTACACACACGCAAAGTGTACTCATAGCATAAACGAAAAACCAAATCGTGGATAAAATAGGCCAAAATAAATGAATATTTGTAGTTGAGAATGTACATACTATAATTTGTATGAGGTTCTTCTGGTAACCAGATCCTAACTGGCTGTAATACTTCCTAAACGCCGGTTGATTGACTGTTTTTTTTTTGTCCAGAGGTATTTATAAACGCCATTTGGAAACGAATTTAAAAGTAGAACACGAGACTAGATTGAACTAAAGGCTTCACCGAAGTCTCTAGCTACTCACGGCTAAGCATATACTGAGTACTATCAGAAAGATCGTGTGAAGGCGAACGTATCAATTAGTACTTAAAGTGAATTTTGTTTATTAAAAGTAAGACGGCTAGTGTAATCCAAAAAAAAGACTGGTAAAAAAGAGCTATTCAGCGAGACGGTTCATTACTTTAATTGTTAACAGAAGAATTTTGAAGGTTGAAAATTAGGAATGGCTACATCTCGAAACATTAAACAGAAGAACGAAGAAGCGTATATCTTTGTCGTGGATTCACTTCGTGAAGATCTTAACAGGCAAAGTCAGGCGAGAATAGTGCACTCAATATAGGATTCCTTAGAGCTTGTGTTAACGAAAACACAGAATCGAAGAAAAATGAACAAAAAGAAAAAACTTGAGTTTAGGATAGGTGAAAACAAATGCACCGTGATCTAAAGACAAATCACGCAATTTCTTCGAATACGAAGGCCGGAGGCAAACAAACCGTCATAGGCGAAATCGAGATCTCGTCCAACCCAAGAAGTATCGGACGAATGAATTTCGACAAGCAGAACAAAAGTTTCAGCGCCGAATGTTCGAAACACATACAAAAGTACTTGTTGATGCAAGAAGTTGCCTGAAAGGACAACGGTAAATAATACCAAATGCGTGACGTCATCATAGCCTGGATAAAAGAAAACAATGGTTTCAGCCCTCACAGGCTGTTTGTATTGTTTCTACTGCCCCCATAACTTTAAGGCGACGATAGGTGGCCTAGCGTATTAACTGCCTATTCTTTTAAACCATTTATGATTGACGAGATAGGCCATAATAATGCAGACCATAAGTACAGAGCTGTCGACAAGCCCTTAGAGCGCAGGCTTCAACGTATGACCATCTAACATGTATCAAATAGTGTTGCTTTATTAGGGTTCTAATGTGACTGAAATTTTCCAAATCCGTTCAATAACTCCAGGAATTTCAATCGTTTCGTTCGGTGCAATCGTGTCTCGTTCACACTGGGGTCAAATACGCTGCTAACTTTAGCATACGTTATAGATGCCGATGATAAAAACGACACTTTATATCGTTTTCCACACATAATGATTAATGAGATGATGCCCGACACTACCCTGGTGTCGAAAATGGCACCGAACGAATTTTTTATGTTACCGTTATACCAAAACGTGTAGTAATAATAGAGTAACTAGACACTGCTTAGCTGAGTGTTGAGAAGACTATCCGGCCATCAAGCACAAAGTAATGATAACATTAAAAACAGTATGCGCTCACCTGATTGTTAAGCTCAAATATAATTTCGGCTTAGATATTTCTAAACACTAAAAAACATTATATATGTTATTATTTTTTTGGAACTTGATTGGTAGTTCTGGAGCCCGTTCTATACTGGTGGTCTGCTAGAGCTTAGAACACGAGCACGGAACAGCATATAGCGACCCAATTCAACGCCCCTTGCACTTTTGGAGATTTAGACAAATTCAGGCGCCTATCTAGCCATAATATGCATTTGCCAAATTAAAAACGAAGTATCCTCTTTACACCATTTTGGATACACTTACACCTAACGACTTCACAAATTTAGTTTACCCGGATTCATCTACGCCCAGGTTACTCTGGCTACCGCTTTTTATGACGGTGCCTTTTCAACACTCCTCTGCTACACTACAAACTCGACTTTGTATGTCTAATGATAAATCCATATGTATGTACAGCCGCTGCCGCCGCCGCCACTTTTTGGTAACCAACGTTTCAAAGATATAGCCTTGATGTTCGGTACTGGTCTTCTACTCATATGGTTTTCTTCCGCCCGTGCATGCTTCTCTCTCACAACTACTACCGTAGATAGTAAATATCGGTATTACGCTTTGGCTGAAACGATATTTATCAGCATGTATGTCATAACTTTTGCATGTATTTATATTCGTGTTTGAATTCTCTCCTCGCGGTATGTCTCAAACCTTTCTATGCTTAGGAATCCACGACGGCGGCATCCAGTGCCCCTCTTTATGCCAAAATAATTTAAGGGAAATTTGTGAATCCCTGAACAATGGGCAGTACAGAATACGAGATATAATTTCCGCAAAAATGTATACTTTTTCTCAGAAACTATAAATCAGTTGGGTTAGGATTGTACAATTTGAAATCACTTCGTGTGTACCAGAATATCAATTTTTATATATAATAAGAGATGTTTCATTACGAGAAATTACTAAAGCATAGCAACAACTCTGAGCCACAAACGATGTCATGCCCTTCAGCTCAATAGAAAAGCACATTCCCGCCAATTGTCTATTATCCAACCTATTATTAATTTTACCCAATTAAATGAAACGTACAAAAATATTCCTGAAGAACTATAACTGATAAATAATTCCCCTAAAAGTATACTTTTCTATTCCTAACTCTCATCAGTGTTTGATGAAAACAGAAATATTGAAACTTGAACGTCAGATTTAATACTCTGCAAATTGTCAATCAAAGAAGGGTACTTACCATCACACTCCACTTCACTATCGCTATGGCGCTCTTCGTTTCACTTTTGTTCTAGAGACCCAAACTGATACTAACCGACAACGAGATCTCGTCTCGCCGTACAGGTCTCTCGTTTTTTTTCACAAGATCAATCCCTTATTGCTGGCCTGTCCAGTAGAGACAGCACGCATCTTTTTGGCCTACTACAGGCATTTGTATAATACGCACATATTTTCACGTGATCCTTGCCAAATCTGCGCACCAACAAAATAGGACACTCAATGAACTTCAACAAATATGGTCAAGGCGCTTTGTAACCTTATTTCCTATAAGTAGTAGTAACTAGGGTGTATAGAACAAGAATGCATCTCCTATTGGAGTGCTAGCAAGTGATGTACACTTAGGAAATAACAATGGAGTGCTAATTCTTTAAGGAGAATAGAACATAAAAGCCCACATTTTTGGCTCGGATAAATTCAAAGGAGTAAGTTTTTACATTCGTGTCAAACATAGATAGATAGGTTAAGTTGCAATGATGTTTCGAAAGTAGATATGTCCAAGATCAAAAAAATCAAATATTGCCGGAAAAATGGTATTTAGCGATATGTGTCCAAGGTCGTCTATATTATGAGGTAATACATCTACTTGGGAGCCCCCAATGATTCACTGCTTCATAATTCTTTTTCCGTCTTGGACGGTGTTTAATACAATCATATTGTCTCTTCTATTTTCATAAATGTAATATAGTAGCAAAAAAACAAGAATGTATGCGTAAGTTACATTACAATTAAGTGTAGAATACGTTTCCTTGATGACATAAGACCAGAGAACTGCATCAGCGCAACATGTGCCCCCTGTTGAGTGGTGGAGTACGATTTCTGTTTGGCCATCTGTGTGTAAGTCCGTACTAATCACTGCAGTTTCGTCATGACATAGCACCGCTATGTAGTAAGTAACAATGTATCCCGCCTGCACGGAAGTAATACGGAATTTTCCTACGGAGCTTGACAAGGCTCCTCATGCAACGAAACAAGTTTTTCTGCTCCAATAGAGCATTAGTGACATAACAAAAACATTCTACGGAAAACAGCTATAGGCATATTGTATACAACCATTGCGTACTTTTTGTGGATACGGATTGAGCTTATGCAGCCTGGCCCAAATCTGAACACGGCTAGCATATATATATTCATAGTTAAATTTAGGGCATTGATTTAGGGAGTCTATAAAACGGAGTCGTTCAATGTAAGGAAATAATTTTTTTTTTTTTTTAACTTATCTCTATTTCCTTTATTAAACATGCATTGAATGATAATGAGCTTAACCAATTTTCGAAAATGCTTGCGATCTAATGATAGTACAAGTATTATGCCCATAATAAGGCCCCGTGAGCTATAAAAATTTAATTCATTTGAATACGGATGAGTGGAACAGTCAGTGTTTATCGTTTTTAAGGTAAGCCAACAGCTTCTAGAGACGTTCAAGGTGATGCTTAGAAAGTTACATTTGAATTGTCAAAAGCTTTTACCTCGAGACATCGTAATTTTAAGCATAAACTAGGTAAGCATAATGCGAAACGGTCTTGAATCAATATAGGGAGTACTATTTCTGTGAAATTGAGTCCCTTTCAGAATAGGCTGTCTCTATACTAGACTGTGTTTCCTACGAGTTCCTCGTTGTGGGACTATTGCTGCTGCTGCTGCTACTGCATTACTTATAAGATAAAAGTAATCACCACATACCATGTGTTGTATGTCCCCTGTTATTTTTCGAGGTCACAAAATGAGTTCTAAGGGGCAGGTTAAAATTTTTTGAAAGGGGTTAACCCAAGCAAGATCTCTCAAGCATAAAACAGTAGAGGAAGTTCACATATCTTCAACTGCCTTGCAACTTCCAGTTAGTTAAACTTTTATCGCATTGCTCTGGAAGTCATGAGGTGTGCGCGCTACACCTTGTAGCCGCGTACCCTCAACATTTGTCATATAGCATAGTTGGCGTTTTTTCTCAAAGGGGACATCTCTTTTTTCTTAATCAGGCCTATAACGACCCTATGTCTCAAGCTTTCTGTATCATTCGCGCCTGCACCTTCAGTGCGCTTCACGTTGCTCTCATGCTTTCATATTTTCTCGCTAATTTTCAATAAATTTATAATTTTAACAAGAAATCCTCATCGTGGATAGACTCCCGTTTTTGTGGAAAAAAAAAAACCTGCCAATGTTCACAACACACGAAGGTACAACTTATGCCCAGCTGATGTATAATATCGGCCTCGCCGCCTTTTCGGTTGCTCTCGCGCCATAGCGCATCCATTACATTAGGACAGCTGTTTTAACGTTTGAGTATAATACAAAGCAATAGCACCGTATATATACGATTACGCTTGATAGCTTATTTGTTAATCAATCCTTTTTTTGTCTTTGAGGGATGTTAAGGTTTTACATCCTTAGTAGTCCACTGTGATAATACAGCGTTGCGTAATGTACTATTCAAATCCGACTAACAATACGAACGAGGGTCACATCGGCTACTTGCCAGTATCTGACCGAGTACTCATTATTAACAACCGAGGCTAGCCCGTGTGTCCTTCGACAATTGCTTGCTAAATTGCCTGGAGCCACCATTGGCGTCATCTGCTCATAACGGAAGTTAAGACAAACAGCGTCGTCCCCTCATCCCTAATTGCTTTCCCGTTCTGCTGCCATCAGCCAAACCTCAACGTGCAGCGTTTTTGCTATGTAAACAAATCGCACTTTGTAGTTAGATTGAGAAAGAACGCGAGTTATTAATTAATAAGATGAAATAGATTAATAAGAGGTGAGCACTACTACAGGTAATAATAACGATAACAAAGTGACTAACAGTAATAATTATCTAGTACATGCAGAGGTAGGAAACAACACGTGCACGCATTAGACATTCGATCAAGTACACCGAGCACAACTAGCCCCCAAATAGTACGCTCGGTGTGAAATGTTACGGAAGTTGACTGCGTGCATAAGTAATGACGTTCACACCAAATCGACAATGTGATTCAATTCAGGCAACGATTATTAAGATCAGTCATTGTATTCACTCATTGTATAAACACAATGCAATTACATATTCAGCAACACTGCAACTTTTCGAATATGGCAGCTTAGTTCTCACAAAATTTAGAACGTAACATGCCCATACATATACAATACGGGAAAACTTTATTATGACTGCCGTTTTCCTATATGCCGTATTTCCAAATATAGGTCAGCAAGTGCACATATAGGTGAACAATGAGTGGTATCGAGACGTATACAACTTACGTATGCCTACTTATATTCCAAGCGAAATAAACCTATACACTGCTAGTTATGTCTTCTGATTCAGCGAAGATGATTTGTGCTTTAGCTGCGTTTATGCTAGTTTCCTTTAAGCTTACATTTTCACGATGTGCTTTCTCAGAGCCTGAGCCCGTGGACCACCGACTGGTAGCTATCTCCTATAGCTACCGGTCGGTAGTCTACCCGTCAAGCTGTTGCAAACAGCCAGCTTGTGTTGTCATAGCAGTAAGTAGATTGTTATTATGACTCCGCCTTCTCAACGATAAAGAATCTTTTCCTAATTACTCTAATGGTAATTTTCATCAGTAAATCCTTTTTTTTAGTAGAGCTTTCATATTAATACAGTTCCCGATAGAACTACAATATAGTACGACGTTTTTAAGGGTAGGGAAAAGTTTTACGAGAACAACAAAATGATCGAAGTTATAGGGAAGATAGGATTTTCATTGGCGTACTGAGAAAGACACTTGTTGTATAATATTATATCGAACAAATAATATGATTCCAGCAACAATTGCTTCTATCCGCGAAGGCACAACAAAGCAGCTGCGTATATCAGACGGACTCTGGAGCAATTACGTCTCTCTTGCATCCTAATACCGATTGTTTCTACTTGTACCAATCATGGCTAAATAGAACGGACGGTGAAACGGTCGAAAGGGCTGAACGAGACGAAGATAAGCGAGTTTCTCGATGTGTGTGCCTACCTAACAATCCTCTTCCAACCATCCTTGAGCCTGCCATTCAGGTTACTTATCTATTGTTATTCTGATTGTGGATTTTTTAAGTGGAGCTGCTTTTGCTCTCTGTAGTGCGGTCCAAGTACGAGCCAATAAGACGAGTGATAACTTCAGTTAGTTAGTATGTCAGTTACGTGTGGACCGTTGTAGAGTTGAGCGCAAAAAAAGCTTAGGGTTTTCATGCGAACTTCCTGAGATTGCTGTCTTATTTCCATCATCATCCATCATAGTGGAGAACAGTTCAAATATTATGGTAATATTAATGATACTGTAATAATAGTAGCTAAATAAACGAGAATAGGTGCGTATGGGGACATTAGTCATAATTTTTATTGTTTTATTGATTGGACATTGTGGTAAACAATGGCTCAGATGTACGGGTGCGTCCACTCCAAAGTCTACCGGTAAATTCGAACCTGTCGCTCGGGAGATTAACGTTACCCGTGCCGTGTGCGTTGTTGGGCGCGTCGCGTAGCATTAGTCGGATCTTTTGCAAAGCGGTTTTTTAACGTCGCATGCAACTATAATGCTCACTGAACGTTAGATCATGTTCGTATACTAATTTAACAGCTAGATTTGCTATTATTACAGATCGTTGATTTGGCCCTTTTTAGGGATTTTTTATTTGCTATTTATCAAAAGTGAGAGCGTGTGTGCAAGTTACTGGAACTATTGTACGTCAAATCTTGTGGAACAGTTTTGTGTACGATTTGTCTCCCTAACCATATGTGTTTTCTTTTTCTACATGGGAATCTATGTTGGGGGAGGTGGGGTCATTCTTGGCACCATTCGAACACTACCGGCGAACTAAGCAAAAAAAAATTAATTTCCCTGAAAAGCTATGGCAAAAAATTCAAGAACGGGTTCATAAACACACTTTTACGGGGTCGAGTTACGTTATAGTAACAGCCAGGAACAGTTACGTACACTCCTTAATGTGCTTTGTAGTTTTATGATGCAATTTAATTCGTTGTCCATTGTACAGTGAATTCTGGCTGTAGCAACAATGTTACAGCCACATAAACACACGGCATTTCTTTGTCTTTTCGAGTACGATGGCGACCATTATTGCTAGCACAGGGGAGGCGATGTATAGAGGTGGGCGTAATTAACACGAGCATTTCTTTTGCCACTAACCGCCGGCAGACATCTGTGCTGAAGAGCCAGGGTGGATTTCTGCGGTAGTCAACAACAACCACGGAACAAACAGCAGTAATTCATATTATTCTAACGCGTCTTAATCATTAAGCGATTCTACGCATATCGTTTCATTATCAATAAAGTGCCAATCGTGCTACATAATAGATGGCATTTGTGGCCTATGGCCTGATCAACAAGTCTGAATGAACCCAACGTTAGATGAACAAATAAAATTGTACAGGCTGAAATTGCGTCTGAATTTACTCCTCAAAACGTAAGGCACTTTTGCCTCGATCAACAAAGCCCTGTTTGTAACAATCGAACTATTAGGTACGATGGTTTGTAATTTTTTTCTACCTGGGTAGAGAGAAACCTGGACAATATGCCTGCCAGGATGCATTTGTAGATACGCATTTTGAGAATCTCCCTATTGAGGGTTACTACCACTAAAGTTATGATGTCTGCTGAAGTATTCGAGTAATATTATTGTAGAAAGAACACGCGGGAACAGTAATTTTATCTTATAGGAAGGTAGTTACTTTAAAGCACTAGACGATAACACCGAAAGCACGAATGGCCGAAGGTCTTCCAATCAAAAATAACCGTATGATTAAGTTTTTTAAGTTTAAAAATCTTTTTCATAATGCATGTAACATAATACACCGTTGAAACGCATTCGACATATACGAGTATACTGCGTAAACACACATTCATTCAACGTTGTCTTAAACGTAAGCAGCACATAAACATTCTTTAATGTAGACTCTATAAACAAACGATCGTCAAGTTTAGTACACATTCGGTACAATACAGATTGGGCATTAATAAGAAACTGGCAAACAAAAACTGCAAGGCAGGAAGCCCTTGGCTAACTTACCTTGTGGAAACAAGTTACCTGAAACGGCTCTAAGAAATATGAGGAGTCTGCGCCAATTGGTTGACCAACGATGCAATACTAGGTAAATACTAACCACTACCGTTGCCAAGACTGAAACAATATACAGCATAATAAAAAAAAAACACGTTTAAAGATATCTTTACTGGAGGTTGTGCAACGTATGTTCTTTCTAACAGCAGCTTTTGAGCTTTTGAACAAATGTAAACGAGCTCTGATTATATACCTAGCATTTTTCAAAGATAGTCGATAATCCATGAAAGACGCTGTAACTTGCTTTTGACCAGCCGTTTTCGCGCGAAATTCACTGTTACTGATAGACGTAAGTGTAAACGTAAGGCGACTAGTAGTATGTAATACGAAAGTTTTAACACACAATACGTTGTTTATAACGTTTTTCGGTTTGCTTATTTTATTCAAAAAGCTGAATGATTTAACTTGTATAAAATTACTGGTACTAACCTACGTAAAAAACACCCAATACCCCATGATTACTAAGCAAAGAGCTGTGCTAATGTAATTTCTACTGCAAAATTGAAGGTCGCACGTTGATTATAAGCATCAATGTGTGCGACAGTGTTATTCAAGAAAAAGCCTTTAAAGCTTAAGGACATGTCTGCGCGGCAGACAACGTGTCCGACGCCCTTACCCGGCCTGTTGGCGTTGATGGCATTAATGATACATGCTATATATACGTATATGAGTAAACAGATTTGACGCCAAAATTAATTGTTGGTGGTAACGCCATAATGGTCAAGTGAGTGCATCAATTTCCGCGTTTCTTAATTTCATATTAATACGACTCGAATAGGGGTCGTCAATTAATTTGGTACACTTTAAAGCTTCACAAACCTTTACCAATTCGATGCACGGGGTTGCATTTTTTTCATTCCTTCAAACGTTCTTTTTCTGCTAATTTATAAGCTTTGCGTTGGTATAGCTGAACCTTTGCCACATTAAGGCTCTTTGGTTATTGTTATACGTTGCCATTTAGTGGCAAGATATTCGCTGGCACGATGGGCAGCATTCTTTAATAATATTTATTAGACACTTACAAGTAGTATCTTCTGTAGAATTTTTCACTGCGAACATTTCGAAGTATACGTCTATCCATGGCTTCTACTGTTAGCGTCTCCGTCTATGTATATAAGCCTATTGTGTATTTAAGCTTACGGGGGAGCCGATCGAAATACGCTACCAGTATTTGCCCGCATCATTACCTATACACCGATTAAAAATGGTAGCAAAATTAGGCTTTACCAAATGGACCATGCGCCGTCGTGCGTACGGACAGCAAAGGTCCAAAGCTACACGGTATTTATGCTCACTCGGAGGGTGAACGAGCCTCACTTTAATACAACAACAGCAGCAACATCTAGAAGAAGTAAAAAAAATGATAAACGAGACCAAAGACAAGGGCTAACCGTGAAGCATGTTTAATAAAAAGAAAAATGGTACCTTTCTTCGCTCGATTATATTATACACACGTATACTTGTGAATTCCATAACATCGTAACATCACTCAATCTCCTAACGGCACCAGGCAGACTATGCATTATTACCTGTATGCATTGTAATGATCCGATCAGGCACTCTGGGTTATTTGATTTGAATCTTGCAATACTGTTTACTACGAGAAAAACAAAAAAAATATATATATAATTTAATAGCAGTAGATGATGGGCCTTAATTAGTCGGAAAGGTTCAACTAAAACGCTAAGGCAAACTTTGTTTATTTGAAAAATGCCACGATAGTCGTATTCATGCCCCGAACTTTACGGCATACATGGGCCGACCAGCCGATCGCCCTCCGGAAGACTAAACGATTACAAACAGGTCAAATAATACGTGTCTTCGTTTTACGCTGTCCCAATAGTGAGGAAAACACTTGTTTTATTAGAAGCGGAAGTAGCAGCAAAGGTATTGATGAATATAAACATACAAATGCCATAACCACGCTAGCCTGCTGGTATTGTAAGGGACAGAAGATTTAACTACAGAAGTGGAACAAGACCATAAAATCGAATAGAGAACACAGTAGAAACTGATATTGATAATCAGCACAATATGCTTCTCAAAAATCTTTCGTTACAAAATCGTGGGCCGCCGTATCAATCACGCGGTAGGTCTCCAACTTCGCGCTAACCGGAACTAACGATTCGTTACGCCTGTTAAGCCCCCGGGCCGATAGACGTTGTTCTCATGTTCATTTATGTATACAAGCAGACGCAAGTATTTCCAATAAAAAGCAACTCTGCTGAACGATTATCGTTTAATTGACGTTTTCGTATTTAGCCCGCTTAGATTAATGCATAGGCGAGCACCAGAATATACTATATAGTACGGCGTGTCACTAAGTATGTTTGGTCTCTTTTTATTTAATTTTGACATCAATGAATATAGAAGCCCTCTAATCAATGTCGACGTTTCAGCGAATTCTATTTTCTAATACTTCAATGAGACTTCAGAAATTTGACTTGAAAATAGGTAGCTGATACAGTTTTCCTTTGTGAATCTCCCTTTTTGGTGCTAACGTTTTTTTATCACCGTTTCTATTCAAACACACGTTTTATGCAATACGTTACCAGATCTAAGGTAAGCGCTGAAAAAGACGGCTTGGCTACACATTTTTTCGGAGAGCAACATTAGTACCTGGCAAAATGGTCAGGTAATATCTCTCAAACAATTAACGATTTATAAATGTCTGTTTGCTGACTGTTTGTTCTCTCGAACGTTAAACGAGGATCGATGTTGAACTTCGTTACAGTGTAAAAGTTCAAGCGACACTATCGACATCTGTTTCCGCTGTTAAACGATGGCAATTTCTTTCTCAAACTTGTAAGTGTAATAGATTTAAAAAGGAAAAAAAAACCTAATTTACTCAATAGAACTAGTAGTTAGTATCGATCTCTTGAAACCTAAACATTTACCCTTCATAAAATATTGTGCTTCGTATTGTTAATATATTTTTATTTGTTCTGTAGTCAGAGTTGTCGAGCTCCGATATATAAAGGATATATACGAAGTAAAGTAGACTCACCGTCGGAGTAGGGATAGCAATGTTAATGGCTTAGCGTGCGAAAAAACGGAATTGTACTATAATAATTATGAATATATTTATTATTATTAACAATGATGGCACTCGCTATTCATTGTTGTGTAACCGGTGTTCAATGGTCTGTGATTGGTGCAGGGTTTCTTGCTGCTACCGTCGACCTTTCGACGTGGTCCGCATATAATAAGTATTTGACAAACAATGATACGAGCATCGCGTTTCCCCTGCTACTACGTAATAGGGAACGCTGATTTTGAGCCAAAAGATGAAACTTTGAGATATTTGTCAGCTTGGATTAATATGTAGTTGTAATCACGCTGATTCTTCCGCTTCGTCGCATCAGAAACGGTGATTGTTGTCGGTGCGCGAAAAGATGCCTTATGTACACTGTAATGGTTGGAAACTTATATTGACAACGTTACGCTGACGCACTCATTCGTAATTGAAAAGGCAGGCCAAGCTCGGGAGAACCGGCTTGCTAAATTAAAACACAAATAGTTCCTATCTTTTATCGATCAAAAAATAGATTCTAGCGACGAATCGATTTATTATGCATTCTTCCTCACTCCCCACCACCTTTTCCCATCATTCATTCATTCATTCATTCAATCAATTTATTCAGTCTTTTTGGTCAAAAGCGGTCAGCGCGGATGTTAAAGACCTCTCTACAAGCCAGACTCTGGGATCATCTAGGCCGTCAAACATGATGTACAACAACAAACTTTACTTACAAATGACATGAAAAAATTATAATCCATAGGAGCGGGATCTAGAAAATACGGTTGGCGCAGAAAAGTTTTCATTTAAGCACTTGCACGACGACTTCTACAGTTTTACTATGTGCGACCTAGCATCGTCATAGAGAAAAATTACTTTCCTTCGGGTATATCGGGTATTTTCTGTTGATCAGCCTTGTTCTCTCGACGAAGGTAGCCACGCATGGATTCTTCTTGTTCCTCTCAAGTGTTTTCCAATCTATAAGACCTTCGACGTTAAACGGCGCAGTGGGGTGAGACACATTTTCTAAGATTCCATTTGAATCGGAACCACTTCGAGTAGTTTTATCGACCCGAAAAAGATATGATATCAAGAGAACGCAATACTTGCTAGCATAAATCGGTTCATCATAGCAATATATTATCCACGTGTCTGTGTCGCACGCCTTTGTTTGGCTCTATACAATTTTAAGATTGACTTAGCTCCTACATCTTATGACATATAAAACAATGTTTGCGAAATTAGAATATACATAAAAAAAAAAACAATATCGAAATGTGAAGGATATTAGAGAACGACAATAAGCAGCGACTGCTATGACGTAGTCATCGTAACACGTACGTGTTATCTTTTTTGCGTGTAAACCTCTGTTAATATACCACCTATGCTTCGATCCTAGACCCACATTGAACCGTCTAGTTCACCCTAATTGTATATCTAATTTTTTCAAAAGTATCCCATCATGTACGTGCTCTTTTGGCACACCAGTCACTATTTGTATTGCACCGTCAACTATACAAGGGGATCGCATTTTCGCCTGTAGGCGCGTCTTTAAACTTTCTATGGCATAAAAAAGAAAAATAAAGGCGGACCATGTTTCTGTTCCTCGTTCGAAAGGCTTTCTGTTTGAAAAGAATTTACCGAACGTACTTTAAACGTCTGTCTTTCTAACGGGACTGTTTTGACGCTCTCCCGTTATCAAACTCTTAAGGAAATTTGCTTTTTTGCACAACGATAATTGTATTAAATGTCTAAAACACTGTAATGGTATTGGCTATTCGTTGAATAATGGTTATGTATAAATTAGCAACTCTACTTATACAAAGTCTTATAAACAATACGTACTCGAAAACTTTGTTTACGCTAACAATTCGAAATTAGTGACGTTCACCGCGCATAACGTCAGAAACGTTAGATCGACTTGGCTTTGCATGACTTCTGAAGAAAGAAAGTGACCATTGCGTAAACGTCGTGTTGTTGAATAAGGCGTTCTTCCGTAAACACACAGAGTTACTCACGTCTACATTTAACGTACACAGCGAATACTGAAAAAATCCGTACATGGGATCTTCTGCGACTTGTGATGCTATGACGTTATGCGTACAATGACGCTCATCAGGATGTACAATCGAAAGTACAGAAGAATTTAATTTTTCAAAAGTACCGGGCAGTTTTAACAAAGCGTCTAATCGGAACGTTTCGGTCGTTGCTTGTGGAAAATTTTCGTTCAAACTTGACGAAGGGCTCCCTAATAAATACGTTGAACTAGGAATGACACAGTATCGGTGCGATGAGCTGCGCTAATCTACGGATTCACCCTGTTGAGCGTAGCATGGACACGAAATAGAACAACTATCGAAGGTTGGAAAATTACAACTATAACAAATGGCTACACTAATTTCGCGAGTTAAAAAGTATGCGTTTTTTTTTTTCTAGGCACATATGTCGCTTCCACACGACGTGGTGGTCGGCGCACCTAAACATACCTGCAGAGCTCTTGGCCTAAACCAAAAAGACGCACGTATGCTCGCCGCACTTATGACCGATTGATAAGAAGAGAAGCGTTTCGCCGAAGCTTTGGAACTCGATAGGATTTCAAAGATTAGATTATCTTTTACCATACTCTCGTGGTATCGTTCGAATGCTTGCAGAGCGTTCGTTTGTCGTGGGCGGCTTTATTGAGCAGCATTAAACGTATCACGTGCAAGCAATTCTTATAACGGAGACTGACCTTAACCTGGCTTGCTGAGCAGGTTGGCATCTGGGAAGCAATGTATTAAGACTAGAATCTGCCCGCATGTAAACGCGCCGTGCTACACCAGCGTACAGACACACGTTAACCTAATCCCGTGACGTCCGACACGTTCATACTTTTTTCGCCGCGTTAACAGGGTTAGAGTTCGCGCCGAACGTCGACCCAATGTATAGGCTTCTACGTCATTCACTATTTGCACGCGCCCTATCTAATGCTACCGCTAATAGAGAGTAGTTCACAGTCGCATAGGGAACAAATTAGTGATGATTTGAAGCTCCTTTCTCCAAATGCACTATGTACGGGTTCCTATGAGCTACCTAGGCGGTCGACAGAAAATAGTTAGCTTTCTGATAAGATGTTGCATTGCTGACCCGAACAGCAATAGAAAACTGGGAACGACTTTGAGCCCTTTGCGGTAACCAGTCAAGCTTGTCCGCTTCTTGCCTATGGCGCTGGTGCTACCCTAGATTTTGGCCGTTACGTCTAACGGCTTACCAGAGAGAGTCGTCTAAACAAATTCAAAGAACAGCCATAGATCTCGCAGAATGTACATAATGCTTTTTTGTACAGGTCGCTCTGAGCCTGATAATGAAAACAAACATTATTTACGTTTTTGTAAGTTTGCTAAGATATTTCGATAGCAAAAAATTTTGAAACATGCACAATAATAACAAGAAAGCCGCAGCCGCTCCTTACCGTACAGTGTGTGAAATTATAATAGATCAAGCTCTGCAACGAGCTTAATATCTGTTTGCCATGCGGATATATGTATCACGTAACTTTAACGTCAAGCCAACAGTATAGCGCCGTCATCATGAAAGTAGTTAAAGAGCACGTCTTTCTTTATCGATAGCCCGTAACACGAAAACCTACATGTAAAATGTTTACGCTTCGATCACATACATCTGCTGTTAATATGACATGACACCCTGATCGACAGCAGGATTATATAATATCACTTTAAAAACGGGACGTTAAGTCTTTTCTTTCAAAGCGCTTATATAGTTTTTCGAATTTAGACAAGTCACAGAGGACTTCACGTATTTGAACTGAGACGTGTACGCGAATCGCTCACATGGGTCTCGATGTAAATCTGAGCGTACATGCGAATGCTCCAGGAAAATAAAGTATGAGATTTGATTGGTTTCAGCGCAACGTACAGAGCTTCCTATAACGTTAGTGCACAAAGACAGACGATGTAACTTCAAGTTGGCACAGATCAAAAAGCAAACTTCATAACATTAATGGTACTTCCCACGACTACTGTTGAAATTTTTTGAAACACAACTTTTCGAATAGTGCAGGCTCTATAGGTTCTCAAAGATTTTAGTGTTATGGTAGATTATTGTTTCGACAAACATATGTTTAAAGGGTAAATTAGCTCACGGAAAAATGGAGGGGAGAGGTAAGTAGCAACGGCGTATTCTGATCGAAAATGCAATATTAGAACTTGCCATTCTATCCCCCATGCGGTAGTTTCTCTATATTGCAGATCGAGAAGCCCTTAAGCTATAATTATGGATATTAAGGCACATTTGCATCATGTCTCAGGTGCGAGAACAAAAACTACGATTGTGTAATATGCCTTCAAAGCGAAATCCTTGTATGTGCACGTTTCTCACCAGCGTATACTTTGAGCACCTGCAAAGCGCTGCTATTCAATCTTTGTCTAACGTGATACGTTGTTAATTGATCAACTATCCCTTCTAAAACAAATACTATTTATATTAAGGCTTTCTTTTAATTGTTATTAGATAAGCTAGGAGTTCTTTCTTTCCTGTATTTTTGAAAGAAGCCTTCTTCTGCATCGAACAATATCTTCTAACGCGATGTAAAGCTCGTATGTACAAAAATGTTTCCTTCCGGCGTTAAGCATTGCTTCAGACACCTGAAACTGGGATTAGGTTCTTCTCTACGAACAGTTTTTCGGCGCCAACCTCCCCTTCAATAGAGGGTCGAGTTGCCTTGTGTCTGTTTTCGCTCATTCGGTTCTTGGCTGTGTCGCCATATTTTCTGTCTGCTGGCCCGTGTCTTATCTCACGTATTTTCGTTAAATAACAAACAACTGAAAAGAGGGCAATGGAGATGGAACGACGCAACCTTTGGTTCTACGTCGGCCCTGTACGTGTGAGTCTGCTATCACGTCAAGCGTTCTTTAAAGTCTCTGGATCACAGGACCGACAGAACATCGGTGGGCGAAGAGAAAACAACGAAGTACGAGCTGCCGAATGAAAGTAAACACGTACATACATTTACGTGCGCAACAGGAAGGGACAAGCTACGAATCAACATGAATAGATGAAGGTTGTCGTGATGAAGAATCGACTCAAATGGTTACTATCTAACGTCCATTTCGTCTTAGACCAAGCAGCCGGGTTGACAGTTGGCAGAGCCCGCCCAGCGAAGTAAGGATCATGAAAAAAAAAGAGGCTGAACGATATCCGTGTGACTGAACTGTGGTATATACATCGTATGCATACGTTACGTCAAAGTGTACGGGGTCTAACATTCTGAGTTGATATTGTTTTGGCGGAACTTAAGCACGAACCGCATTGGGACGTGGAAGCTCGCAAGTTTACCTTAATTAGGCCTGGATCTTATTGGCAGAAGGCCATGGAATACAACGATATATACATACAAATAGATGACATAGCCAACAACGTGACTATGGAATCGTCTCGTTTCAATTTTGATATATAATAGTAAGTTCACGACGTTAGTCATCACACTGTACATTCGTTCTTTTTAGTTGTCATGTTGAGCGAGTTATTTACGTCCCTCAGATACTTTCCTTGTGAAGACTAATTTTGAGTTCTTGTGGATGTTTGGTAGAACAAGCGGCACACAAGAAATTTCACTGATTCCCGTAATTGACGCCGGCAGACACGTCAGCTAAAAAAATAAATAAAATTAGACAACTTGCTCGATCGTCTTAGGTAGGGCGTCTTGACAGGAGCGGTAGAATGTCCACATTAGTGTATGTAAATATACGTTATATATATATATATATAAAAATAGACACTATTGTAATAGAAATCCAGCTGAGGAAAAGGGTTGTTTCGTAGATAGTTCGACGTGTTCTAAAAAGCTGTATTTTATTGTATCATAATTAACGTTTGCATAATGAGTCGTTCAGAAGCTTTCTTAACTTCCGTCCTGTTACTATAACCTATGTCAGGTTTACATTTGAAACAGTTTGAACCTGATTCTGCCTTTACTAAGCAATAGTATGCTGTATTATAACCTATTTGCAGCTCTTCGGGTTTCTTTTTTAGATAAGCCATTAAACAGATCATTCGATGTACCTTCATCGTCAGCGAGCAGACATTACGAGCCTACTCAGTCGAATGTCGAGAAAACAAAGGCCGTCGTCTCGGAAGTTGTGCTTACCACACTTTCAATTGACGTACACACAACACGCTGACGAGCATAATACAATTACTATGAGAACTAATGAAAAAAATGTAATGTTTTATCTGTTAATTTAGTGAACAAACAACAGTTTTCTAAAATGGTAGATCTGTGCTACCTTTTCCTTGAATTGAATCCTATATGATGTAATGTCAATAACTAGTTATCTCTGTCAATTGCTAGCAACGAAAGCTGACTGACAACAAAACAGACAAAACAGTTATAGGAACCTTAAAAGATGCTGGCGATAGATAGAACAATTTTCAGAACGACTAACAGCTAGTTATGTAATTAGCGTTTCTATATTTGCATCTACCTCTGTCTGTGTCTCTAAACGTGTGTGCTTGTGCATGCGTGTGTATGTACGTCTGTCTACGTCTGTGTGTATGCATGTGTATTGCGTCTGTCTACATCTGTGTGTATGCATGTGTATTGCGTCTGTCTACATCTGTGTGTATGTACGTCTGTCAACGTCTGTTTGTGTCTCTGGCCGTGTGTATGTGTATGTACGTGTATGCGTATGCGTGTGTGTCTCTGTCTGTCTGTCTGTCTCTGTGTTTGTGTTTCTGTGTGTTTGTAATCCTAGTGAAAACCTGTATTGACAGTAATGTTAGATCTGTCTAGATCTTTCGCCTTCTTTAGATTGCTATCGACAGAACGACCCTTAATTTTTAAACCAACGACCCCATCTTGATTTGCGTTCACTATCCACTCATTCAGGGGTTTGCGGGACCACCCGCGATCTCGTCATATCAGATAGAAGTAGTAACAGATAGCAAACATAGCTGACAGGGTAGCTTGAATGCTTTAAAAATGATTATAGACGAACTGATAAGCAGCGTCTCATTGAGGGGGCTTCAGGTATGACTTAACGCGGATTGCGCTTATCTATATAAGAATGATCTGCACATAGGTGATGTCACACAAGCAAGCTATGGGCTCACCCAAACGGTTCAGCTATACGAATTCCCATTACGGCGTATCACAACGTGAGGTTTACTGTATACAGTACAATAGACAGGTTCCTACCTCACATTCTCGAATTGTTAAGCACATATAGCTACGGCATAGTTTCCGTATGTAGTAACAAATCACTGCCGTCAAACAGAAGGGAGAGTACACGCTGTATGTAGAGAGACCACCAATGTGCGACGCCACCAATCGATTGGTATATCGACGAGATTCGCGGGATATTTCAAATCCCGTGAGACTATTTTACGTAGCGTAAAGTACATGTAATATTCTTACATATACTTTACTCTGTAGTTGTACATAACTTTTCCAATTTAAATATGGATAAGCTACGGGTATTTTGTTGATGGAAGTAAAATTGACAGGCATTGCTAAGCTACCTTACGTTTTTTGCACTCGATCGCCAGTTACAAATGATTCCCAGGCGTCAAGATTATGACTATCTATGAGGATAAAATATGTACGCATACCGGATTTTCTAGATTCCACTATAGACGGCCTTTGGACTAAGCAATGTCCCTGAAACACCGCTATGTAAAATTAAAACAAATACTCGGCAATTGTGAGGTTACTAAAAAAAGCATTTGTATTGTCTGAGCATGTTGCCTATTAAAAATAAAGGTTATTACGGAGGCATATTAAACATAAAAGGTTCCTATTTGTTTATCATGTAGACTTCCGATTGACTGTAAAGCTGAGACACATTCGCATGTACTAAAATTTGATCCGCTTTGAGACAATGGACAGGCCGGCAAATACGGCACCCTGCGAGGGGCCTACCTGTAACTGAGAAAAGCTCTGTGCCCCATCGATACGTTTTTCACACACCTTTTCGCCTTACTAAGTGGCTTTCATAGAATTTGGCAAAAAAAAAGCAAGAAAAATGCGTGGTTGGGTTGCATGAGTGTTGAAACGAACGACACGAAGTTTTTTTTTTAACGGTATTGACGCAATTTGTTCTTGCGCCCTACATCTCTATAACATGGATTTTTATTCACGGCTCTGTTTAGTACGACCTGAAAACTTCACATAGAACAATTTATATACACACATGGGGAGGATTGTTTTGGGGACTTACAAATATCAGTGTGCTAAAGTAAACTGTACTGTATATTGTAAAGTATACGCTTCAAGCACCTGGGGTATATGCTCAAACAAAGATTACGGTACATATTGAAAGCACTGAAAAACGTTGCAGGGTTACCCTATAATACGGTATTTAGGTAGGCTCCAGGTTGACTATTCAAGTCAAGAAACCAGCGTTAATTCCGTAAATTGTATCGAGCGTCTCATTGCTAGACGAACGAACATCGTTTGGATTACCTTCTGCCTGTTAGTTGTGATGAGCTAATATTGCATTATATCCGCTATGCTTAATCCCAGCAGAATTGTTGATGTAGAACTGTAGTGGGGGCATTGACGAAGAATTACAGTCAGTAAACATTTCTTACTCATCAACTGTCGAAAAAATAGATTGGAGCCCACTTTGACATCTCCTCGCTCGAAGAACGAATAACGCGTACTTAAACGCTTGAGCATTTCGTTTGAATTATTAACATGTGTTTATCAAAAATGCGACTGGGTCTCAAAGGCGACACCATTTATCAAGCGTTATTATTGCTCAATAAAACCATTGCCGTGACAAAACTCCGCTGGAGCCAGCGTCCCGTATACGTATTGAAATCTGTCCCGCATACTGAAAGAAGACTTGTTGTTGTTGTTGCTGCTGCTGCTGTTAAATACGTTCGTTGTCAACAGTTACGACCCGACAAACAATAGACAGACCTGTCGTAAACCATCGCCGCCATCATCATCTAGTGCCGGCATCAAGAAGGCATGACATTAAATCGCTTGTTCGTCTTGCGAAAGAAGACACTCAGACGAAAATTGGACTGACTCCGCTGGTGGTCTTTTTGTGAAGATCGTCCGACTACGAAGAAAAGGTTTTTGACATGAAGAAACTCATCATATTCACCTGTCGGTGGTGAAAAGGAACCGCGTAGCGATGCTAAGTATCCGAAACAGATGTCCGAAACTTAGCTACAGCTTGTCCAGTTGAAACCCGTATACCACCCACAGGAGGAAGGCATTACCATCCCTATTCGGCCAGGAAGGTAGTTCTTCTCCCTAGTACTTACAGAGAACGCTGAATCGTAAAATCGTACAATTTTACTCAAGTAATTGTGCTATGGAAGGTATCAACATATGTTGCCCGTACATCCTGGTATGAGTACGCGCAATATAAATATATAATCTTGATACAATGCTAATAAAAACTCAGCCCTGAACCTGAAGCTTGAAAAAACGTTAATTGTACTTCACTGAAACTGCAAGTAATTTAGTTACACTGAATTCAGATTGTAATTTTCGGGGGGGAATCATTGTATCTTCACAATATTAGTGACATCTATTGCAAGATATCTGAAAGGCTAGAGACTGAAAGAGCGTTAGCCCACTGAGTAGTCGAATCAGTGTCTCACGTCTGTCTAAAACGATCGTCCTTAAAAGAAACAACGTATATTATATAATTACCCTTTATTAAGAAAAGTGTGCATATATTTATGTTGCTGAATTGTTCCTTAAACCATACGGCATCGTATCACACCGTGGCTTGGCTTAACCACAAAGCCAAAACGTATTTCTCTGTTTATTCAACAATTGTATGAAGGAACGGGCTCCACGCATAGGAAGTTGAACGTATTATTGAAATAGATTTACGGTCTATTACGTGTAACTTGAAGTCCATGGGCTTGGTGCACTTTTTCCACTATTGTATTGAATAAATGAAAGAGATGAAAATAATAGGAAATTGCATGAGGCCTTATAGCTTCATTCCCTAGACGTCCTACATGATTGCTAATTAAACCATTCGATTATAAATCTAATTAGCCGTTATCATATTCGCTTCATCCGACGCGGACATATAGTTACGGTTACTGATAGTAAACGACCGTTACGCAAAATCAAGCATCTCCGCAACGATGCGATTTGACATCATCCCGAACAACTAGCTTCACACCATTTGAAGGCAACGAAGTAACGGCATCACTCTCCATAAGTCGCTCGACAAGAGAAATACAGGACGATTTCTCATCTATAAGAAAAGCAAAAACCAATGTGTATCAATTAGTCCCCAAACGAATACTCAAGATGTGTACATACATGAAATTAGATATTAGCAGTGATAGACGTACCGTGACGCCAGTGATCAACGAGGTGCATGAAGACTGCAAAAAGCTTCTTGTCCAGTTGCTCCTGCTTTTCAATATTTACGAAATTCCAAAGCATAGTAAATGTGGCAGTATCGAGCGATACGTTTTCTTCTTGTAAGGCTGCACGTATTTCCACACCGTTCATCGCTTGTACACGGCTGGACATACGATTAAACATCTCTTCATATTTGGCATGTTGTTGAGCGGAAATGTGCTCAGCAACCACCTGCAACGAAATAAATTATTATATACACATAAACACCAAATATATTTCGTATGCCACTGGGATGCATTTTTGATTTTCGCCTTTTTGGGTGTCTTCGAGTGCAAAAATCGGCTCAGCTTCCCCCGATCCATCGTCGCCGGCCTTCTTTCAGACGACGGTCTACATTGATAATGTCGTTCTATCTCGCGATTCGACGAGATGAACTGTTATATATACTCCTACAGGCTTATCATTGCATAATTGTATATAATAGCACCAATTAGTGCTCCAGTAAAGCTCTGATGTGATGTCAACTAAATTAAGATGACCATGAACGCTGAAGGAAAAATAATGCGCTGTAGTGAACGCGGTGTGCAGGCCTCAGGTTGTAGGTGGCCTGTCTGACCTTTTTCCACTGTTGGTACGTATGGTATCATTTCTTTTTGTTTCAGAGCCCTCAACAACGGTTTAGCAATATGATGGCGACGGCCAGCAACATTGTCGATCGTATAACAGTACTGAGCATTGGTGCAAAGGACCGACGTAGTTGGATAAACACATACCTCCCAGAGTACGCCCCCAGGGGCGACCCGCTTTGTAAATTGCAATTTTTTTTTTTATCTAAAGGAGTAGGCGTAATATATATCGCGCATAGACCCAGCGGGCGATTTTGGTTTTTTCAACTTACAATTTTCATGCATCGCCTCACCCTTATCCGGGGTTTCTCATTGTTCACCATCGAAACGTACCTGTCGCATTTGCTGGCCAAAGATTGCTTTGACATGTAGCGGCTCTTTCCTTTGAGACATATCTAGAAGAGCTGGAATGTCTACATCAATAAAATGGTTGACTTCATCCAACAACGATAGTATTTTCTCTGCTGAGCAGTTGTGTAGATCCGATGACCACCGAAGCTTCTTACGCATCGCCGAGGCCTTTGGTAAGTCACCCATAGAGATCTTGTACTTAGATACCAGTTGTTCAAAGATCTCTGACAGTTCCGTTGTGGAAAGGCGGGAAGAAGCTCCCTACGCGAGACGCAATCGCAGTTTCATGCAAGACAATGCAAGTTCTAGCATTAGAAATGATGTAAGAATTATCTTGCAGCAAAACGCCCTCAAGTGTTTTACACATGTCTTCCACAGATCAGCGTTGGAACGCTTGTTTTAGCGTTCCAACTACTGTATACACATGTGTGTTGTATACATACAAATAAAATAGTACTCAATAGTATAATAATAAATAAAAAGTACACACTTCGTGTTCCAACCTAATATTGTAACAAACAGCAAAATGCAATGAATTGCATTCTTTCATTTAAACCTTTAATTTTAAACCTTTTATGAGCCTAGTATTTACCTTTTTGAGAACTGTGGGATAATGTTCCTTTAAAAAGTTAATCAGAAGACCATGTGCGCGTACTTGGCGAGCTCTTCGAAGGATTTGATCCAATTTACGCAAAGCAGAATTGCACGGAAGTTCAGCTATCTCTGCGTCGAGTCGTTTCAGGTTTGCCATGAACATTTCAGAGTTTTTTGAATCTGCCCGAGCGCCCCGGCTCCAGAATGATCCCAGTAGGATGTCAGGAACCTCTGGTGTACCGAGTACTTGTCCCAGAGACCAAAGAATAGCTCCGTATACCTGCGCAACAGCAAGAACAAAATACCGTCGCATGCTGATTCTCGCAATATATTCGTCATTAATACATAAGTTAGACCGTTGGAAAGACCGTGCAACTAGCTAAGCAGTATTTTATATATTTCTATGAGACAAAAATTCTTCGAGGTTTCGTTCTACCTAGGCGACTTTATTCGCATATCAGTGGGCTCAAAATGCTGCTAGAAAGCAGATTTTACTTTGATGACCACGATTGTAACTTCGTTTGTATATATATATATATATATATATAGCCTTCAACATTACCTTCATAAGTTCCTCGTCTGATGTTATCTCGTCAGCCTTGTTAATAATGAACCGCATTTTATGTGCATATCTTTTCAGTGACTCTAATACTGTTTTGAGCTCGTCCGATATTTCGGGCTTAAGTGCATCCATCATGACCACAATTTGGTCACTCTTTTCCCCGAACCATTCCATTGCGCCAACATAATCATAGCTAAAAGCAAGTCGACGAAGCAATAGTTTACTATTTGCAAAAACTATATCCATCGCGCAGGGAATCTGAACTTAACTGCAAATCAAAACTTTCGCTAGAATAGAAAAAATGTTTTTTTGGAGGTTGAAAGCAAATGCATTATGTAGACCAGACATCACTGAATTGTGGGTCTGGTACTGTGGGACTCTCACCCACTAAATAGAATAGAAAAATATTTATCTAGCCTAAGCAAATGAGACTTATAATTCAAGCTTTGAATTAGTAATTTGCATACACATTTTTGCCGACTATATTTTCTGTCTATACGGCTAACTACTAGTAAATTGTCTAATATACGCGGATCAATGAGTTTGATGACCATCGTCCTTACTTTCTTGTTCCTGAGATAACGCCGGGCGTATCGATAAGCGTAATCTGTTGGAGGATTTGGGCGTTAAGTGATGCACCAATTAAACGGTCAAGGAAAGCAGCCCCGAACCTCTCTAGACCAGTCTTGGGAAATTCTCCGCGGCCTCTGGATCCAGTTTCCTCGCGATTGGATGGCAGAATCAGTGCTCCTCCTAGCGCACACACAGACACGAAATCGTCCTGAATACGGCCTTTATTCTATAAAATATACCAATTTTACATTATGTTTACGTAGCCTGGCAACGTTTTGTGATGACAACTTGCGAAGATCCTACCTGGTGTGGTGATATCTGTTGAAGAATAGCCAATAACAACGAACCGATCGGTTGTTGGTTCTGGCCCAACCCTCATTCCTGGATAGGACCGGCCTAGAAGGCGTTCCACTAGTGACGTCTTTCCTGTGTGTTAAGGGACATTGTAAACTTTGACGGTATTTGGAGGCAATGCACTATATTAAAATGGTAGTTTTTTTTCCAACTGTCGACGTATCATTATTGTAGTTAAGTATATGCACCGTAGAAATCGTTAAATTGCAATATTCACTCACTATAACTTCCATTTTCGATCGTCACCATACGAGTGTTGCTCAGACAAAAATTACACGAACAACATGCAGTAGCAACGATTCAGTCTAAGGCTCTAAGGCGAAAATTCTAAGGCTCAAAAAAGGAAAAATAGATCTGTTTAGACATAGATTTAGCGTAGTAGTACGGCTGCGCTATGCTGGACATTTACCTTAGAGCACTGTCGATGACAATTGTTTGTGATGCTAACAATGGATTATTACCTCACAACGAGATAGCTGGAACACGTACATGGTCAGCTGAGTCAATGTGTTATAATGAATGGTTTCGTCCACAACTAAATAACTCATTCTTTCCAAATACGAAATAGAGGCGCATTCGGGCCAAGAGGTACGCGCTTTGAGGTAATTTGACTTGCCAAATATCGGAGCAACCTAGGGGTTACACTTTTCTTCTCTAGTTCGTGTGAACAAATCGTTTCTAGGCATATCACAATAGTTTTTACCAAAAAAAAAAAAGCTTGTGATAAAACTCGAAGGGGTAGCCGTAATTAGGTTCAAGACCGCAGAATAGCTGATATACCTAGGAAAGTGCAGGAAATTAAACAAAAAAAAAAAAAAAAAAGAGACTACATGTGAATTACATCTCCTGAGGGAAAACCTAATCCAAGGAGAACTTTTCTGTAATCACGGAAACATATGCAACGAGTAGTTATGTATGCAGGTACATTCTACTACTAATTGCTGCCATGATCGCTTTTAGTGACCACAGCACAGCCGCTACTCTTACTATTGCATCGAGTCATCCTGAATTGTACGTCCACTGATTACATATTAATATTATCTGTGGATCTCAAAGCAGCATATTAATTTATAACAAACATAGAAATTGAATATTTTCTAGTTAAGTTAGTATTTATATATATAAATTGATATAAACTATACATATAATAAAGAAGAGGTTAATAGGTCTTATAATATTATAAGACCTATTAACAACTATTAATTTACAGTGAAAGAAGACGAGCGGGTGTCGCACCGACGGAATAAGGTCCTATGATGAGCACGATAGGCTTTGCATAGAAGTCGGCCTCGAGGAGTCGAGAATGGGATGAGAAATGCTGAAATTGGGTCTCTTGTTCCAGTGGAAGAAGTCGCTCTTCATACAAGGTCGTGAGCCCTTCTTCCAGCGAACAGAATGCACGTGCATCCAACTCCCGCGGACTATCGAACGTCGTCTCTCTTGCCTGCACGACGAATTATTACAGATTCGCAGTGAGAAGATGCTTCATGCTTTGGCCTTCTGTGCTACATGTTGAATGAAGTTGAGGCGCATGCATATGAACTAGCCAACGGCTAATAATAAAATTAACTTGCTTGCGTTCTAAAATTCAACCGTCACCATGTTTTTCGTAGAATTTCAGGGAATTAATCATAATACCCTGAAATTCTAATGTCAGTCGGGTACCGTTCCGGACGCTCATTAAGTTGCTAAAGAGTACCATTTAATCGACGACGTTTTTTACATTACGTACAATTTTCGAAGATAAATAATCTTCAGCTCACCAATTGCAATCAATGCCAGATGCAATCAGCATATAAATCTTAGAATAAAACTGTAAAGTAAATTGGTTGGTTTCGTAGAATTACGTGCTTCTCAGATAATGCGTCAACTCCTGCGCAAAGATGATAGTAAATCTATCCTCATAGATGGACGCCAGAATGACTTAATCCCATGTGAATGAGTAGTTTGAAGTAGTAGTAGTAGTAGTAATAGTAGTAGCAGCTGTAGTGGACGTCTGTGGACTTGGTCATTCTGCCCCTTCTTTTTATGAGTTCCGCGTAGCTCTGGTGTGTCAGGATAACGTAAAATGGTAATCATTTATTTATATACGAACGTGTTGATGCTTTCCGATATCGCTGGCTAAAGTCAATCGCTTTCAACTCGACGCTAGATTTTGCGCTTTTTAGTTATCTCGTTCTCGCTGGTTTCTCGTACAAAAGCTTGCTAGTACAATTGTGTATCCGGTCGAAATGAAGACAGTATTTAACGCTGTCCGCTAAAACCGATCGGCTAATGTCAGACGCATTTTCAACAACAAAGTCTAACTGCTATCGGTTTTCGAGCTAATTATGTCAAACGCATCATGTAGTGAAACACCAGCACGAAATCATTAAAGGATATCGAAAACCAATGAGATAGGCATGTATTTAAAATCGGCGGTGTTCGCCGGCACGTTTTTTGCTAGCGGCGGCGGCGGCGGCGCAGGGTTCGCGAAACACTTAGACGTGATTTTAGCCAGAGTCGATTGTCATGTTTACCGCCACGCAGACGTACCGAAAAATTTTACTACCTAAAGGGGTCGGTCAGCGCCTATATAGATGGGTATACATAGGACAATTCCTTCGTTTGGCAAGTCCTTACTGAAGGTTCTGCTAAACTAAATCTGTCGAGCTTCACATTTTCCAATTGAACACCAGATTTCCATCTGACGTTCACATGATAAAATGATAAAATAATCATCCTGTATTTTTACCATCCGATCTAGAGTATATATATGGTCAGGCAGACTTTAAGGGGTTGTTCGTCATAGCAGGAATAGGACCAATTGCCATTCTCAGTATCAGAAAACCAAAAGAAGATGAACTGATCATGGTAGAGAGACACCGTCGTTTTCACAATTTTACCCAGGATCAGGTATATATTAATCACTTTTGGTCCTTGCCGTTGCCGGTTTCCTGTGGTCTTTAGAAGATCCGAGAAAGATTTTTATAAGGCATGCCGGAAGTACTCAATATGGCTTAATCTCTGAAACGAAATTACGTTTCAAGCCGTTTTGGACAGGAGAAATCAAATTGCCCATTTGATCATTCAGTTAAGCTCCAGCGTTCGTCCCTTTCGGGCTCCTCGAACGTTTTAGCTCCCATATTTTTATTTTTTAATCTGGCATCATGCCAAAATGTAATACTGGAATACACTCGTACATTTGCAACAGATCAACACCAAAAATACACAAAAAACAGGTTATTTGCGGATTATAAAGGATTAATTGTTAAATCAACTACTGAACGGTCCAAGGTCCAAGCTAGTTAATGCTTATATTGGATAGACATGATCGTTAGTGTATTCATAGTAGCTCATTGATGTAGCCCAGACAAACTCTAATAATATTTGGTGACGAAGAGGTCATTTAAACCCTTTTGAATCAGTTGGATCAGGGTCGATATCGGTTAGGGATACCTTGGGGCGTCTTAAACTCGTGCGAATGGTCGGATGCGCCAAACAAGGTGTGCATATGGTAGATATTAATAATGAATCTGCTGGTCATTGTCGTGCAAATCCCGTATAAAAGACTCGAACGAAGCGTACGGTGAAGTCATTTTATGACTTATTTTTATAAGCTTTTTCGAAAATACGAACAGACGTCTGAATTTGAATACTACTCAATCTCAGAAGCGTTTAATCCCATGTGAATTAAATCTCATTCGGCTAAAATCTCTCTCTCTCTCTCTCTCTCTCTCTCTCTCTCGAGAGAGAGAGAGAGAGAGAGAGAGAGAGAGAGAAATCCATCTGAAGAGACATTAGATAGATGAATGCAGACAAAAAGTTTGCATTTATCTAATGACAGAAAGAGGCGATTACCCCTAGCTTCGTTGTATGACTGACACTCTCTCAATTGTCTCAATCAATCAATGTCCGCTCTAATTGTGAGTAGACATTGATTTCTATTCTATGAAATCGAAGTGGTTTTTGTTAAATGTCTTTCGTTAAATTTCGAAAAGCTCTTAATACACTACAAGATAGAGAGCAGATACACCTTATTCCACCGCGGCAGTGGATCTCTTCACGCAGTATGCCCGCTACGTCTCTAGAATCTTACTAATCCCTAATACGACCATCCTTAGTGGGATCCGAACATACGAGGAAGGCTGTGAAAGGGTAATAGAATACTAATAGACACGCTAGAAACACCAAGGGGGCAAACATCGGCCTCACGATGCGAGTAGTTTCGTTTTTCCAAAAATACTGCTACTGTGACCCGAGCGAACGTTCTTCTTTTAGAACTTAGTTTTAGAACTGGCGCCGTTGACCATATTGCTATGTGGGCCCATATGTAAAGGAAGCGCAGTGCTGACACGCTACGCTGTTCGCACAGTATTTACACAGGTCTATAATCCAACCAGAGGTCGAAAATCAGTGTGTGCCGCATTTATTCTAATTACCCCCTTCCTTTCATTAGAGAACTTGTTTATAGTAGAAGAACTACATATAAATGCTAATCTATCTGTATGTAGTATGCCTATGTCTAGAAGATGGCCGGTTTCTTTTGTCGACAAGAATCAAACTTGTTGCTTAGATGACTAATTTTCACGGGTGAATTTTGTGTCAGGGTAAAAAGGACAACACGAATTAGAATTTTAGTACCGTACCTTTAGGAGAGCATGAAGTGAAATATTAGCTTTCCTTAATTGGGCCTTTGCCGCGCTCATTGCTTGATCCATCCGCTTCGTCATCTTTACCTAAATGAACACACGAGTTATATGTACGTAAATATATCTTTATAAAGATTTCTGAATAATTGCATTAGGTAACTAACAACGATTATGAGATCTAGATTGGATCAGTGCGTAGTACAGGGTCAACGTTAATTTGCGTACTAACGTATGATAGCTTATGTTCCAGTTGTCGAGTATTTTTAAGCAAATCGCTAATAATTTTCTGTAGACAACTCCGGAGCTCGTAGAAGCAGTAGTAGGGAGTTGGATCCAGAATCTCACAGTTCGTATCACCGCCTCAATGTATATGTAAATAAAGATTCCATCAGTCGAAATAAACCTAGGCTTTGCTTAATGTAACAAAAACATACCTCAAACAACTGCTTTGAGGTGATCTTGCATGCTTTGCATCGGTACATCATAGACTACAAAGATATTATCTAACCCAAAATCGCATCTGCTCGGTTCACTATCGCTGTCCATCTGCGTGCGTGCATACCTACATAGGATATGAAAGTACTTTTTACCCTTAAATTTAAAGCACTGGACGGTCATACCGCATTTTAATGCGCTTAAGAAACTGAGGGCTTTCTGAGTATGCAAAGTAACGGAAGGACACGGAGGAAGCTTTTCTAGCGACAGCATAACTTAATTTACGATAAAAACGTCAATGAAGCACACCCTAGAAAGCAACGAAGCTATTAAAATTTCTTTAGACGGAAAGCGATGCATAGCATTTATCGAAAAATTATTGCGTTATTATTATTATTATTATGAAATTATGTTCTTCGCGAAAATGTGTTTAATCATTGCCAAAGGATGCATCGTCGATTTTGAAGTGGGCCTACGCGCGCCTTGTATACCATTAGATGCTGATCCCATACATCGCACCGTGTAACTTATAGGGTTATGTTCAGTGTGTTATTTATATATTATGTAGGCATACTCTAATTACTGTTATAAAACGAATGTTCAAAACAGGCGTAATGAAGTTGGTCCTCAAATATGATTCAATAACATGAGTTTTTCCAGTTTAAACGGCTTGATTCATGGAAATTAAATAAATTCTCATAAAAATGTCCGTTCTTATACTGTACAACGTTAGACTGACTTGACACTTATTACCGAAGAAGCCTAGGAACAGAAAGCCACACAACTAATATCAAGGTCACACTTCCCAAGAAAAAACATATCTCAATAAATGAGCAAGCGGAAGTATTACTAGTATCCGCTTTAAATATTACTCATGATAATTCGGTGGATTTCGTCGCCTTATGGAAAGTTCATCATTTGATTTTTGCTTGACTGCATCTGAAAGTAAACTGAAAAGTATATCGTGTGCTATTAAAATGTTTCATACCTTCATATCGTTAGCGCTGTTTTTAATTTTTAGGAACATCATTTTTTGAGTAGGCTTATAACTTTATCCTTACGTAAAATACTACAACTATATTATTGTCTTATAAATATCAAAAGCCTGCTTTTCGGTAAACGCAATTTCATCTTCTCCATCAACACATTCCTCCAAGTTATATCCATTAGTCAATTTGCCCCATATAATGCGTTCGGCAGGAGCATATTTCGACTCGTGCTTTGCCTGACATTTAAGTATAGCATCCAACGAATGTCCAATTTCTGACAAAGGCGTTTCAGGTTCATTCGATAGCTGTTATTCTTTATCCAAGACGAGAAAGACAGATTCTCGGCGGGGTTTCTCGATGATGTCATGATCCATCCTGATGAACCTTTCACAGTTGTCGGGTGGTAGGATTGACCGCCAACTCGCTATTAACAGCTGGCCAAAGAAGCGGTACGTGATTTTGCTTATTATAATAATCGCAGCAATTATTTGGATATTGAGCGGAGGTATGACGGAGGAAAATAGGGCTTACGTTCTGGGGAGTGACTGTTCGACCCAGAAAAGCATAAATGAAGACAATCGGGCTCACCCATAGTGGTTTTGCGTACACCTGCCCTATAGGCTGCTTCTGCACAACAATGTCTAAGAAGAGTAGAAAGTAATACTTCAAAGCTACGTGACAGCTTTACTATGTACGTTATTGTTTGTTTGTTTGATTCCTTGACGTCATTTTGCCCCTGAGCCGATTGTTGTAAAACCGAACCAAACAAAAACAGAAGGAAAAAAGTAGCATTACACTTTTTGTTAAAAATTTATCTGTGCTTCCCGTTCTTAAGCGAATCCTAGTCATGCGTAATTCGTAATTGCTTATTAGAATTATACGTAAGTTATCTGATCTCAAAAGATAGTATACATTTCACCTGAACTTTACATCCATGCATGCCTTCTATCAATTAATAAAAGTAACTATAACTTAGATTTTCATGTTAGATCAACTAAATCAATAACTTATATATCTACAAGGTAATCGGACTGACGTGAATTATATGCTATTTATTCCAAATTTTCTATGTACTAAAGTTTTATATGCTTAATGCTTTATCGTGACTTTGAGGCTTTTATACTGATCAGAAATACGAAATGCTGTACAAACGCGTTTGTAAACTCCTTCTGCGGTTCGTTACATACAAATTTTGTATATAGATAATTATGCTGCTACAAGCAAATCCGGCAGACTTTAAAATTAAATGATTTTGAATTATGTGCCTCTGACAGATGAAATGTGGCTGGTATATAGTTGCGTCATTTAGAAACTTGCAAGTTGACTTCAAGGGGATGAGCTCAGAAGGAAAATGTCTTTTAGTCTCAACAATGAAGGCTCAATGGGGAATCTTTTGTTCCTCAGAGGCCTCACCGCACTCGAAATTCATCGAGGATGGGTAAAGATATTAGGCAAGGAGGTTCTAAACGAAAGCACAGTAAATGAATGATGCACAGGTATCAAGAACGGAGATTAAAGTGTTGAAGACCAGCCAGGAGGTGACCACACGACGAAATCTAAGGGACCTGAAGTTAAATTAGCAATCATGGAGGCTTTTCGCAGAACGAGAACTTGAAGTCTAAGAGCTCTGTCAGTCAAAACTGACGCAACATAACGTATAACGTGTTATAGAATCGTGACCGAAATACTGAAAACTGAATACAGAATGTCTGAATACAAAAATTTGCCGTAAATTGATTCCAAGTTAGTTAGTTGTATGTATTCCACGTGCAATTTGTAGAATTTGAACTAACAAAAAAACCCGTTTGTAGCATACGGTCACGACATAGACAGGGGTAGTTCAATCTTCATCACCAACTGGCGAAGGGCCAGGCAAGAGAACAGGGAGAGAAATAGTACTAAGTAAGTTTGAATGTAAGGTGATGGTACCACTCACGGTAGACATCAGGGGCACCTGCTACTATGAGATACTCGCCGAAAATGAAACGCTGTATGCAACCCGCGTTATTTTTTTAAAGGACTCATGGACGGAAATCAGAAACAAGCAGTATTGTTACCTGACAAAAACGCTAGATCTCATTGCCATGCTTCAATTACGTTTGAATTGGATAGATTAATATTCAGTTTATTTTCCCGATTTAGGGTCGTGTGATTACGAGGCTTTCCATGCTCTAAAAAGGATAGCTAGCGGACAAGCATGCCCCACTATCGATTTACGTCGAAAAGCCACAGATAAAGAAATCATTGTATGAGAACGCGAATGATAGGTACTTGACTGCCCAGAAGCTGCCACAGCACTGGAATAAACGCGTTAAAAATAGCTAGTTCAATTTCGAAGTCTACTAGATTGTTTTGTAATAGCCTAATATATATATATACCGGGGTGGGGTAAAGGAGGCTGGCTAACACAAAGAAGCTAGGTGATGTCCATGCTTCGTTTACATACTATATTAAGATATTAAACACTTGAATAATAATAATATTCGTTACTTTAAAATATAAAGATTTTTGTAGCAAGGGAATTTTCCATCCGCTAATCACAACCAAGCAAAGGTGCTAATCATGTTTGATAAAAATAGTAATGGTGAAACCAGAAAGACAAGGGTATACCAGCAGGCATAAATTATGCGATTTGATATTCTTCTTTGATCGGAGAGAAGATTAACGAACTGTTGCTTATCAAGAAGGAAGAGATGCATAGTAGAACCATTAAATTAGTCTTACACGTTTATTAATTGATATGCCTTAAGGCTTTCAAATTCCATGTCGAAAAATTTCGATACTTTAATCAATTTGGGCTAGTAATTTCTTACGGATTGTTGCACGCAGTCATCCCAGGATTTGAATACATTTTGGTTCCTTGATGTTATCAATTTTTTGAAATGTCTCATTTGTCAAGCCAGAGGATATTTACGTACGTGGTAACTAACATTAAACTCTAGTGCCATGTTTTTCAACTATTCGTAGTTTTTTTTTTAGTTCAACATCGGGCAGAGGGCCAGTTCGTTTGTATGAGATTTGTGGTGATCCGTACGCAAGCCTCTCGGAAAAAACTGAGATATTTTTCAGAAAGGCAATGACAGAGACGCTCATTTCTCCGCTTGTTGAGGTTGCTGATTATTTCGACAGTGGCTCCGCTACGGGTGGAGTTTATGAAGATGGAAGTCTGCTACAGGATTGGAAATGAACCCCATTGCTAAGGAGGGTTCTGTTCGTTGGACTGGTCCGAATGAACAGCATAACAGCATGGCTAGATTACTTCAACGAGCCTTCCGAATCACAAAAAGAAAATATGCGTAAGTATGATGGGCTAGAAAAGTTTTTGTTATTTGAGTAGACTCCTTAACCCCACTTTGCAGATATAAGAGTGCCTTACCCTCAGTCATTTTGTGATCTTTCACTACTTGAACTTAATATAATAATATTATATAGAATGACTGTAATAATTCTAACTATAAACATTTTTTGAGAAGTTCAGCCTATGTACGCATTTAGGTTGCCCGTCCAGGCAGGAATATATGGTTATCAAATATTGTTGATGATAAAGTTAGGCAGTGGGGCGACTTTGACCATATCGTCCTCAAAGCAAAGATTATCGAAAAAAAACTAAAGGGAACAAAGCCATTTCGTCTGCTCCGTTGTATGTT